ATTGTCAAGGAGAAGCGGTCTCACAAGAAGGGGTGTGGAGCTTCAGGCCCCCAACACTTTCAGGACTGGCAATTTGGGAGCATATCATACCCTTATTCTATCTTATCATGCTACCATCCTGAGAAATCCTGTCTTATTCTTTAATTTAAAGATACTATCCCAGTCCTATGACAAAGACACAGTTATTTGAGTGAGCTTAGGGTAAGTACTTCTGTTTCTGGGTGTCACAGAATGTGGTGAATCTTTCTTTATTTTTCTTATAACCAAGACCTAACAGGACTAGAGATTTTCCAATTCTTTTTTTTCTGGTGGTAAACAATGACAATAATGATTTTTTTAAAAACACTATGATGCTCTTAATAGTGAAAATACACTTGAAATTTTTGAAAAAGGATAGTTGCCTGCTTTGGTTATGGGAAGGTAGGATAGAAAGAGTGATGTCTCATTCATTCATTTATCTACTTATTTTACCAAAGGCCAGGGAAGGAGAGAAAACCATAAGTAGAAAATAAGAGTGAACAATATGAAAGGAAGCAGTTAACTAATCCCTTGTGAGAGTTGGCTTAAACACCACCTGATATGCTCCATTCTCTTCATTTGTTGGGTGGACCTATATCTTTTATATTGTAGGTTCTAGATGTAAATATATTTTAACATCCATGCTATCTCTGATTATTTGATAGTGCTGTCTGGGTGCTAAGTTGAGAAGAATTGTGAAGCATGTTCAGTCTCAGCAGGAAAGAATGCCATATTAACAAGCAATGCCTATCACTACTATTGAAAGGGACACATATGTGCCATATTTGCAGTCCTCTATAGGCTTTGGAGGGCAATCTAGTAATGTTCCAGTACAGGGCCAGTGTGAAGATGTGTTGACAGACAGACTATATAGACGTCAGGATGTCTGGGAATAGCAAACAAGTCTAAGGTTGCAAGTGATCAGTCAAGGTGGTATGACAGGAAGTAGTGGAAATGCATTTGCAAGGCCTAATGTTACCAGGCCAGGCTCTAGTTCATGGAATAGTGGTGAGAGGAACATTGGACAGGATGCCAAGAGAAGGGCTCAGGAAACAGGACAAAAGCTTAGTTATTAAGTCTGGGAGATAATGTGAGGGCTTGGTTTTGAACAACGTAGTGATCTAAAAACTGTGATGAAAGGTCAGTGGTGAGCAATAGTTAAGTCTGACTTGATGCTGAGCTGATGAGCTACCGGCCTAGAGAGCTATATAAATTCCTCTATCATAGCTTAATACCAAAATGAGGCAGCAGGTAAAAGATAGTGTCAGATATGTGGGTTGGAATATGACAGAGACGGAAGACCTGACAGTTTTTTACATGCTCATCCATTTGCCCTCTAGCTCATACCAACCTCTCCTTGATTAGAATTTATATTCCAGCCTCAGAGAATCATCACCAAGATTTAGAGCTGTGTAAAACTTAAATCAGAAGTGGTATGTTCTTAGTGTGTTTATTTGGAACATTCTATCACATAGTGGTCAGTTTATAGTAGTATAGTACAGGCAACCATGGATTAAAAATCATTTCCATGAGCTCACTTGAGATCATAAGTTGTAAACTTTATTTGTGTGGGTGGGAAACTATGTTTCATTTTCCATGCACATGATGCTCATCATCTGTTTGCAGTTGAAGAATGTCTTCATCACTCACAAGATTGTTGTTTTGACATACCACGGGACTTCAAAAAGTTCGTGGAAAAATGGAATTGAAAGATAAAAATAAAAACATAAACTTTGTTTCTCAACATAAACTTCATCAAGTTCAAGACACTTTCATAAATGATGATACCAGCCATTTAGCCCATCCCTAAGGAAATGGGGGTCCTGGGAATTTAACTGTATCAACGCAGTCTGTTTTTATATTATTAACTAAAGACAAATGGGTGCCTTTTAAAGATTTTTTAAGATTAGAAAACAAAAAGAAGTCAGAAGGAGGCAAATCAGGACTGTAAGGGAGATGCCTAATGATTTCCCATTGAAACTCTCACAAAATTGCCCTTGTTTGATGACAGGAATGAGCAGAAGCATTGTCATGGTGGAGAATGATTCTCTGGTGAAGCTTTCCCTGAGGTTTTTCTGCCAAAGTTTTGACTAATTTTCTCAAAACACTCTCATCATAAGTGCATGTATCATTCTTTGGCCTCCAGAAAGTCAACAGGCAAAATGCCTTGCATCCCAAAAAACCATTGCTGTGACCTTTGCTATCGACCAGTCTGCTTCTGCTCTGATTGGACCACTTCCATCTCTTGGTAGCCATGACTTTGATTGTGCTTTGTCTTCAGGATCATACGTGTAGAGCCATGTTTCATTTCCTTTTACAAATTCTTTACAGAAATATTTCAGGAACTTGATTCCACTTGTTTAAAATTTCCCTGGAAAGCGTTGCTCCTGTCTGCAGCTGATCTGGGTGCAACAGTTTTGGCACCCATCACACAGAAAGTCTGCTCAACTCTAATTTTTCAGTCAGTTATGTAAGCTGAACCAATTGAGATGTCTGTGGTGTTGGCTGGTGTTTCTTCTGTTAATCATCAGTCATTTTCAATTAGGGCATGAACAAGATTTTTTTCCCCGACAAATCGATGTGTATGGTCTGCCCCTGCAGGCTTCATCTTCAACATTCAAATTATCCATTTGTAAACTGATTTCTTTGGGGCATTATCCCCATAAGCTTTTTGTAAAGCAGCAATTATTTCACCCTTCTTTTGCCCAAGCTTTACCATCAATTTTAGCAGATTTCATGTTGCTTTGATAGAGGCTTTTTTCAAACTGATGTCTAATCTTCTTAGTGCCTCAAACTAGATCCTGTTCAGGCATGTTATAACAAGTTAGTACAAGTTTATTTTGATGCAAAAGGATTTTGAAATCCATGCATAATTTTTTCATAATACACATTTTCCATGAACATTTTGAAGACCCCATGTATATATGGAATAGATAAGCACGTATTTTTTTTAGTGGAAGAACCAAGCTGGATATTCTTAAATTCATTCAATAATTTGTGTTAGAAAGTAAATAAAAACTAATTAATCAACCTCCACTGATTTGAATTTTAATTCCCAACTTAAAACAGGATAAAGAGTTGTTGTTTTATCTATTTAAGAAAATTTGATAAAGCAGTTAAACAATAAACAAGATTTATGAGGTATATTTAATCCACTTAAGAAAGCAAATTTTGGCTTGTTCTGCAAAATGTACATAAACCAGTACTGCTAATTACAAATGAGCTTTACTTATTAAAGGAGATTCTACAAATAAATAATTCACACATAATTTAAGTTTTCATTTATTCTACAGTTTTGTGTGATTTAGATTTCACAGATTGAGACTCATCTTCCATAATTGATTGTAATTAAGTGTTATATGTGTGTGTGTTAAAAGATATTAGAGAATCATGGAAAGCTTTGACTTTATCATTCCATTATTCCTTCTCCCCACCCCCTCCAGGTTTTTACCAAGCCTTGCTAGGTCAGCGTTAGAAAAAAATCTGGCAGATGCTACAATAGAAAAAAATATTGATGATAATCTGGAACCAGAACTGGAAGATTACAAATGTGAGTATTTGATTTGGTTCTTTTTTAATTGAAATAATAATTCTCATCCATTTGATGCCGTTTTTAATTTAAATTTCAATAAAAAATGTCTTTGTTTTACATCCTACTTTGTTTTATGTATTAGGTTGAAGAATCTGTTGTTTAAAAGAAAAAGTTTGAAAACCACTTGCAAGTTAAACCTTGGAATATTTACCATATTTCAGTACATGCTAGATACAGTTTCCCCTAACCTCAAGAGTCACAATTGACACTAACATGAGAGGTTTTCAAAAAGTTCGTGGAAAGATTTGTATTAACTTTAAAATTTTTATTTACTTATTTGTTTGTTTGTTTTGAATATTCATGAGATACAAAGCTGATTGTCCCCCCTCCTGCCCATGATTGTATTAACTTTTAATTCCATTTTTTCATGAAAGTATTTTTTTCCAAATCTTTTTCACCATAGAATCTAGAATTATACTTTCATAGTGTTTATATTTTGAGGGCCACCAGTGTCCTATGGGACATGTTTGGGAAACTTTTCTACATTGATACAGACTAAAATAATAATCAGAATACCATTGCTTGTCTTCTTACTCCTTCCCTTTACAGTTTAAATTTTGGGTCTATTTCAGAGGTTTAATTGGTAGTAAATAAATAGTAAATTTTCACTGTGACAGATCATGGTTTTCCTTCCCTATAGAACTTGTGAATGCAAGGAAAATGGCAAGGATCTACTGAAGGGAGAGATTACTGCTAAGATCTACTATGCTTTGGCAAATATGTAGCACTCAGCAGTGATTAAACAGGATGACAGTTTAATTATTTTTAGCTCAAAATTGTTCATGGTACTCCATAGGAGCAAATGTTGCTTTCCTCCCTTGTCTTTCAAAATGCTTTAACACAAAAATAGCATTCTAGAGGAGAAACAAATTGTAATTTTCTTATTTGAAGTGGGAAAAAAAAAAAAGATGGGTGAATTGTTTAAGGCATTGTAATTGTGTGTCTGCTTGCTAGGGTATTTCCACAGGATGGAGTATTATTTAGAGTCAAAAGATTGAACATACCCCACATGGAAGAAAGAATGTCAGACTAGACTAAGTTCTATTTTAAGCTTTACTCTTACTAGCTGGGTGATGTTAAGCAAATTATTTAATCTTCTTAGTTTCCTTATAATTCTTACCTCATTGTTAAGAGAATTACATAAAATTATATGATGAAAAACTGAGATGAAGCTCCTAGTTTGGGTTCTAGCACATGGAAGGTCCTCAGTAAATGAGCTTTTATTATGGTAATTATCAGTGTTACTACAATAACTGCTACTATTAATGTTATTATCATTGACCTTGGAACATGTCATACAGTGAATATGTATATCTGGTTACTATAGGGAGTACATATGAGATATGTTCCCTGGCTTTAAGAAGTTTATTATTTAGGGCCGGCCCGGTGGCGCACTGGAGAGTGCGCCGCTTGGGAGTGCGGCGGCGCTTCTGCCGAGGGTTTGGATCCCATGTGGAGACTGGTTCCCGCTCACTGGCTGAGCGTGGTGCGGACGCAACACCGAGGGTTGCGATCCCGTTGCCGGTCAGTAAAAAAGACAAAAAAGAAAAAAAAAAAAGAAGTTTATTATTTAGTTACTTGGCTTCAAGGAACTCACAGTCTATTCTAGGCTAACCTATTTAAAGCAAATAGGGAACACTACGATAATAATTATTAGAGAATAATTGTGTTGGGCATAAGTTCCCAATCTAGTGGGATGTCAGAATCACCCGGCTGCTTATTTGAAAATGAAGATCTCCTATACCATCCCTGAAAATAGTAATTTAAATCTAGGGTGGGTTGGTTCATCTGTATTTTTAACTAGAGGTCTAGGGGATTCTCTTATAGGGTTTTTAATGGGCAATCCATAAAAAGTTATATTCAAGGTACTTGAGAGCTTTTGAATGTGTATTTGACATATGTCTATGTTATAATCTCTGACCAAACAACCTTCTAGAAGTGGCTTGATTGTGTTCTGGGTTTTTTTTTCTCCCTCTCAATTTTATCTATATGCTATTTACTATATGAGTATACATTGTTTTAAATTAACTTTATTACATTTTGGAGTATTTCATTTAAAGCTGGATGTAGAGCTGTGGTCCTTTGTTACCATCTTCAGGCTTATTTTTTCAAATGCTAAATTAAGATCCCTTGAAGAGTGCACAGATATTGCAGAACTGTATTGCAATCTGTGTTGGGTGGCTTGGTTTCTCTGAGGATGGCAATATGAATAATTCTCTGCCTTGTGTGAAATGTTTAGGTGAAGTAGCATCTGGATCTTTGAGGATTGGCACTGTTAGTGCACCAATCTATAATGCCCATGAGAAAATGAAAGTGCCTGATGTTCTGTTCTATGACAATGTTCAGGTAAGAGCATTGCTTTGCATTCTTGAATAAATCATTTATATTGTGGTAGTTAACTTCAAGTAAAATTGATGTGTATTATTTTTGTAATTTTCTAAGTTCAATTCAGATGATGCAAAATGAAGTGTTGGAACATCCCTTTATTAAGGCATTATAAAACTTGAAATTCTTTCCAAATATCCTTGAAAATTGAATGAGTTGTTGCTGTAATTAGGGTGATAAATTTTATGTGCACACATATACACATGTTACATGACTGTACTTCAGGTAAATAAAATGAATACCTTATCAAATTAAAAATAAAACAGAGCTACTCATCTTCTCTTTTGCTTGCTTGTTAGTTAGATCATTTTGGTAGTTCAAAGAGAGATATGTCCTCTGCATCGTTTTCCTCATTCTATTCCTTTTCCTGCAGTTCCTAATATTTTTCTTTTCTTTCGTTCCTTTTTTTTGTTTTAAGGGAGGAGGATAGAGAATTCCCCACTTGTAAACTAACCAATAAATTATGGAACTTCCACTAAGACACAAATAATTTTGTACCTACAAAGCTTTTTATTATAGATGTTCACTTTAATAAGAATTTTTTCAAAGAATGATAATGTGAAAGTTTTTTTCTTTTCCAGATTTTCTGTCAAGTGGTTATATATTTCTTTTATAATAAAAAATATACTTAGGCTGGCCCGGTGGTGCACTGGATAGTGCGCCGCTTGGGAAGCGTACAGTTGTTTGTAGTATTTATTATCCTTTATTTATTTTATTATCCTTTTGATGTCTGCAGGGTTTGTAATGCTATCCCCTATTTTATTTCTGATATTAGTAATTTATATCTTCTCTTTTTTCTTTATCAGTCTTGCTTGAGATTTGTCAGTTTTATTGATCTTTTCAAAGAACCAGTTTTTTGTTTCATTGATTTTCTATAATGTTTTTCTGTTGCCAATTTTATTGATTTTTGCTCTTTGTTATTTCCTTCATTTTGCTTTGGGTTTATTTTGCTCTTCTTTTTCTAGGTTCTTGAATAGGAGCTTAGATTATTGACCTGAGACTTTTCCTCTTTTCTAACATGTGCTTTTAGTGCTGTAAATTTCCCTGAAAGACATATTTTATATTGCACAGGGAAAGTCTTAGTGTACCTTCCATGTTTTATATCTCTCTACCAAGGAATTCAATTCAATTCAACAAATATTTATGGAGTGCATGTGCCAGGCACTGTTCTAAATCCTCGGTATATATCAGGGAACAAAGTAGACAAGGATCTCTATCTTTGTGGAGCTTACTTTCTAGCAAAAAAAAAATATATATATATATATATACTTAAATTTTTCTGTAATGCTTAGTCTCTAATCTGCATATAAATAATAACGTTAAATTTACAAAGTATATTAGAAGAATTTCTGCTTCCTATTTGCACTATATTAAGGAGTTAGCAAAATCAAAGTTAAAAAATTTTATGTGTGTGTGTGTGTGTGTGTCTGATCTGTATGGAGATCTGAACCCTCAACCTTAGTATTATAACACCACCCTTTAACCAACTAAGCTAACAGGCCAGCCCTGTTTAAAGTGAAATTTCTTTTTTAATCCACCATTCTCCAATTCTATTTTGTTATTCAATTATTCTGTAGCCAATTAATTAATACAGGTTTTTTCTTCCAGAGCATTAATGTTCTTGCACAATCAGTAGACAAACAGAAAATAAAGTTACTTAAGAGTATAAGACACAAAGGAAGAAAAAAATCTTGCGTATTATATAAAGACAAAAACATGATTATAAGGCAAATTTACTATTTTCAAGCATTTATTGTATCACACTATGTCCATATAATGGAAAGGAGCAATGAAAAAAGAGTCAGGAAACTGTTATAAGTGACAATTTGAAAGTCTGCATGGTACCAAAGGTTGAAAAGACTTTACAGCATACAAGAATGTAGGAAATGCAGTAGTAGTGAAGATCAATTTGCCCTTGAACACAATGTCTGTTGCCATGGTGCTCGTGACATAGACATTGAGGACTGCAGGGCTGCTGTGAACTTTACACAGTGGCCCTGAGGGACTTCTTGTAACCTGTCTCCAGACATACCTTCTCTTCATAAAGCATTATAGATTAACCATTAATGAGAAATTTTTAGCTATACCAATTCTAGGGATAGTGGCTTCATTAAATTTCCTTCTATTGTATATATTATTATTTCCTTTTATGCTCTACTTCCTCTTTGAAGCAGTAGTCTTCAGCACAGTCCTTTTGTAGATTTAGGTGCTTTTATATTATCTTGTTGTTTTATGCCCTGTTTTCCCCTTACCACATTGCGTTGAAACTGATTTTTAAAGTGTGTTTTTTCCATATCAAAAAGCCCTGTGTTTTCTTTATTTTGTGTCTGTAGCAAATAGCAAAATGCCTGACACATAAACAACTGCTAAGTAAATCTCTGTTGAATGGATTAATGAAAGAATGAATAAGACTGTGAATGTTCACAATAAAGGATATTATTTAATTAAATCTATCATTAAAGAATATTACACTTACAGCTGTAAAGGAGGAGAAATTGGAGAAAAGAGAAATTAATAGCCTCTTGATAAACCTAAGGAGCTTTATATTTGAAAGAATTTAAAAATACTTACCATGACTCAGGCCTTGTCGTTAGGTATTTGGATACAGAAATTAAAACACACACACAAGCATATGCAGCTCCAGGGCTCAAGTTGCTCATAAGCTAATGGGGGAGATGGACAAGTGTATACATGGTTACCATACAGTGTGATGGAAGTATGCACAGGTTACTCTGATAGTGTTGATGGAGTGATGGTCCCAGACTGGAATGATCATAGAAAATTGGTTAACCAGGCAAAGTTGGGAGAGTCCGTCATGCAGAGAGACTAGCATTTGCAGAGATTTGGTTATAGGAGAAAGTAGCTCATTTAGGGAGCTACATATAGTTAATTTCCCCTGCCACAGAGCTGAGATTACAAGTGCTTCCACAGTATCCAGATATGAGGCTGGTAAGTGAGGAAAGGATCACATCATATGGGCCATGCTAATTAAGGAATTTGGATTCTTTTCAGACAGATGAGGGAGCCATTGAAAGATTTTAAGCATATTTGCACTTTTGCTAACTTTGCATTTCAGTCAGGTGAGGGTCATTAATGTATCAGTCACCTCAGGCCTTTATCATTTCTTTGTGGCAAAACATTCAGACCCTCTCCTCTAGCTATTATGTGATATACAAAACTTACCTGTTAACCACAGTCACCTCACTGTGCAATAGAACGTCAGAACTTATTCCTCATATCTTATTGTAATTTTCAACCCATTTGGCTAGCCTCTCCCTAATTTCCCTCCGCAATCTCTGGTAACCACTATTCTATTCTCTGCTTCTATGATATCAAATTTTTTTCCCTTACATTCTGCATATGAGGTCATATGATACTTGTCTTTCAGTGCCTGGCTTACTTCACTTAACATAATGTCCTGTGAATCCATACATGTTGCCACAAATGACAGGATTTCATTATTTTTATAGCTAAATAGTATTCCATTGTGTATATATGCCACATTTTTTATTCCATTCATTGTTGGACACTTATATTGATTCCATATCTTGGCTATTGTAAATTGTGCTTCAATAAACATGGGAGTGCAGAAATCTCTTCATCATACTGACTTCATTTCCTTGGAATATAATACCCAGTAGTGGGATTGCTGGATCAAATGGTAGTTCTATTTTTAATTTCTTGAGGAACTCCATACTGTTTTCCATAATGGCTGTCCTAGTTTACAGTCACAGCAACAGTGTGCAAGTATTCCCTTTTCTCCACATCCTTGCCACTTATTTATTTTTTTGATAATAGTCATTCTAACTGGAGTGAGGTGGTATCTCATTGTTATTTTGATTTGCGTTTCGCTGATTAGTGATGTTGAGCATTTTTTATTTTATTTTATTTTTTTTTTAAAAAAGATGACCGGTAAGGGGATCTTAACCCTTGACTTGGTGTTATCAGCACCACGCTCAGCCAGTGAGCGAACTGGCCATCCCTATATGGGATCCGAACCCGGGGCCTTGGTGTTATCAGCACCGCACTCTCCCGAGTGAGCCACGGGCGGCCCGATGTTGAGCATTTTTACATATGCCTGTTGGCCATTTGTTTGTCTTCTTTTGAAAAGTGTCTACTAAGATCTTTTGCCCATTTCTCAGTTGGGTTATTTGGTTTTTTTACTCTTAAGTTCCTTATATGTTCTTGATATTAACCCCTTTGTCAGATGTATAATTTGCACATATTTTCTCTCATTCTGTAGGTTGTCTCTTCAGTCTATTAACAGTTTCTTTTGATGTGCAAATGCTTTTTAGTTTGATGTAATCCCACTTGTGTATTTCCACTTTTATTGCTTGTGCTTTTGAAGTCTTATTTAAAAATTCCTTGCCCAGCCACATGTTGTAGATATTTTCCCTATGTTTTCCTCTAGTAGTTTCATAGTTTCAAGTTTTACATTTAAATCTTTAATCCATTGATGAGAGATAGGGGTCTAGTCTCATTCTTCTGCATGTGGATATCCAGTTTTCCCAGGACCATTTATTGAAGAGACTATTCTTTCCCTGACGTGTATTCTTGGCACCTTTGTCAGAGATTGGTTGGCTGTAGGTGTGTGAATTTATTTCTGGGCTCTCTATTCTGTTCCATTGGTTTATGCATCTGTTTTTATGCCAGTACCATGCATTTTTGGTTTCTATAGCTTTGTAGTATAATTTGAAGTCAGGTAGTGTGATACCTCCAGCTTTGTTTGATTTTTTTCAGGATTTCTTTGGATATTCAGGGTCTTTTTCGGTTCCATGTGTATTTAAGGATTTTTTTCTATTTCAGTGAAGAATTCCACTGGTATTTTGATAGGGATTGCATTAAATCTGTGGATTGCTTTGGATAGACTATATTGACTATATTAATTCTTCAAATCCTTGAACATAGACTATCTTTTCATTACTTATATCCTCTTCAGTGTCTTTTCTTCAAAGTTTTAT